AGAGTGAAACCCCATCTTAAAAAAAAAAAAGAAAAAGAAAGAAAGAAAAAAGGAAAAAAATAAAGAAAACCTAAATTCTGGAACCAGACTTTTGAGCAAGTTATCTATCATAGCAATGTATCTCAATTGCCTTATCGGTTAGGGAAAAAAAATAATCTTCCTCATAAGAGTTTTTTGGGAGATTAAATAAGTTAATACATATACAGCTCTAAGAAAAGTGCCTGGCACTGGTTAAGCACAGAGTAAATATTAGTTCTTATTGTTACTGTTACTATCCCCTTATTTAATAAAATTTCTGCTGATGGAGATAAGTAATCTCGTTAATCTAATATAAATTAATTTTCCCTTTAATTGGAATTTTAAGTTGCTTTCTTTTTTTAGCATGTTAATATTTTGTAGGTACAGGCAATTAAACTTCTGGTAAGGTGGCTGTTGGGTATGAAAAACAACCAGTCTAAATCTGCCAATTCAACTCTTCGGTTATTATCAGCGATGTTGGTTAGTGAGGGTGACCTGACAGAGCAAAAGAGGATCAGGTGAGATTTTCCAGTTTTCTTAGTGCTGAAATTTTGGAGAATTATTTACCTAATGAATACTGAATGGTGTAATTATACCTTGTTCTTCTGGATTAAATCTTCTGTACTCAGTTAGGGTTTTCTGTCTGATAGTATTGTTATTTTAATAGTGCCAGTATAGTTTTCTTCATATGATTACAAATATGTAACCATAATCACTATATTGTAATATTACAGTTAGCATCAACATTTGGTTCAATTAAGCAAGTATTTGTTAAATTTCTACTGCATAAAACACTGTGAAAAGCATTGCAGCAAAAATAGGAAAAGTCCCTGCCTTCAAAGAGCTTCTCTGTATTAAAGTGATTAAATAAGTGGAGTGACTTGAGTGCCATGAAAGTAATAAAAATTTCAGCAGCAATTCAAAGAAGGGAGAGTTGAAGTCTTCTTGTCGTTCTACAAATTCAGGTGTGTACACATGTATGTGCACACACACAATTTACATTGTTACACATTTTCACTATTAATCTGTAAAATTACCATCTCATTTTCAAGATGAAAATGAAAGCTCAATTTTTTGTGATCCTGGTTTCTTTCAAAGTAGGGGCCAAGAGTACCAGCATAGATAACTAAAGAATTCTACATATGATGCATTCCTTTTTTTAAATTTGTGGTAGAGAACAGAGGTTTAATCATTCCTTTATGAGGCTGAGCACAGTGGCTCACGCCTGTAATCCTAGCACTTTGGTAGCCTAAGGCAGGTGAATCAGTTGAAGTCATGTTGAAACCCTGTCTCTACTAAAGATACAAAAATTAGCTGGATGTGGTAGCACATGTCTATAATCCCAGCTCTTGGTGAGGCTGAGGCATGAAAATCGCTTGAACCCAGGAGGTCGAGGTTGCAGTGCACCAAGATCATGCCACTGCACTCCAGCCTGGGCTAGGTATGTGGTACTGCTATGCAATTAATTTTTTAAAAAATGATTATATTTAGAAATGAGATCTCACTGTGTAGCTCAGGCTAGCTGGGCTCAAGCAATCCTTCTGCCTCAGCCTCCTGAATAGTAGGACTATAGGTATGCACCACCATGCCCTATTTTTATCATCGAATAAGTGAAGGGCAGCCTTTTATAACACACTGATTAACAGCTGAGTTAGGGATAATGAAAGCTTTAAATTGGGGTAATTATGTACTGTGTCTGGCAAACAGTGAGCTCTTACAAGTCAGTGATACCTAGGCAGAACATAGGTATAATAATGAGGCATAGTAATGAGCTCTTAAAACTCATTGATACCTAGGCAGGACCCCCAGTACAGATGAAGACTAGCTGTTATCAGTTTACTTTTAAAAGTTTAACATCACTAAATGCAGTCAATACAATTTAAACTTAAGCAGTACCTCTTTTGCCTTACAAATCAGACAGAAAAAAAAATTTTTTTAAGCAGTCATTCCTCAGTATGATCAGGGAAATGGGTTTCTTCATTAACCCTGAGAGTATAAATTGGTTTGACTCTGGCATTTTCCATCTAGATCCTCAAAAATGTTATCCCTGGCTATTTTTACACGCGTAATTCATGTGTGGAAAAGAACCATATGAAAGCATATACACAGAATGTTCCTCCAGCATTATTTTACATCACAAAAAATAGGGGAATGGTTAACCATGGAATGAACACCCATTAGATCCTAATTGGATATCATATAATATTACCTTTTCTAAGCCTCAATTTTTTTCATCTTATGGAGTGAAAATTAATTGAGATAAAGCCTATACACTCTTACTGGCACAGAGTAAGCACTCAAATAATAGCTGTTACTTTCATTCCTGAATGAATGTCATAGAAGCTATCTGAGGCTCCCTCATTGTTACCAGTACTCATTTTAACAATCCTGTTTTCCAAGAGTACCAGGTTTTCTCCTCTGTATGCTTAGCAGTAATCTCAGTGGGTTCAGGCTCGCTTTCTGCATTTCATAAAGCTGTCACAATAAATATGAAAGCCATGCTATGTTCCATATAGATGTCAAAGTAGAAAGACTCCTTTGCCACGCCATTTATTACCACATTTTACCACATAAATAATAATACACAGTGTGAGGGTGGGAATGCCAAGGCCTCATAGGTTCCATTTTGAAAACTTGACTCTGCAAAAGGAGGTCAGCACCAGGAACTAGTACCTAAGACAGACACTGGCTCTTATATTTCATATCCTTTACTTCAGGTATTTGTCTGATACTTCCCTCTTAACTGCAGCCCTGCCATTTCAGCAGATATTAAGCCAGATTCCTGTTATGTGTGTATATTCAGGATATATATTTTTTAAATGATTATAAGTAATTTATTTTTTTAAATCAAGTTTCCTGTAATCAATATGTATTCCTCTTAAAATGAGGGACACAGCTCCTGATATAAAGAGCTCTTCCTGAGAGAGTGGGACGTCCGGCTTCTGAGCGGTAACTTTTGTTGCGCTAACAACGAAAAAGAATTAAATATGGGTGATGTTGAGAAAGGCAAGAGGATTTTTATTCAGAAGTGTTCCCAATGTCACACCGTGGAAAAGGGAGGCAAGCACAAGACTGGACCTAATCTCCATGGTATCTTTGGGCGGAAGACAGGTCAGGCCTCTGGATTCACTTACACTGAAGCCAATAAGAACAAAGGCATCATCTGGGGAGAGGATACACTGATGGAATATTTGGAGAATCCCAAGAAGTATATCCCTGGAACAAAAATGATCTTTGTCGGCATTAAGAAGAAGGGAGAAAGGGAAGACTTAATAGCTTATCTCAAAAAAGCTACTAATGAGTAATAATTGGCCACTGCCTTATTTATTACAAAACAAATGTCTCATGACTTTTTTATGTGTACCATACTTTAATAGATTCCATACACCAGAATTTACATCATGAATGACTGACAGAATATTTTGTTGGGCAGTCCTGATTTAAAACTAAGACTGGCTTGTGGTTAAATGAGTATGTTCAGTTTTTGGATTTTAATAGTAATTCCAATTTAGTAAATTCTATCACTGTTTACCCCTTCTAAAGATATGATTAGACTTTGTTAGTAATGTTAAATTTTTCGCAAAGATGGTGAGTGCTATCTTAAAACTTACTGGAGGTTGGTTTTATATTTAGATTTATATAACTGGTTATATGAATATATTTAAATACGGGGAAAATTCCTTCACTGTCTCAGAACCAAGCAAGATTCACCTGTGTTTTGTGTTCATTTGCCTCTTAAAGGCAAGGGTTGAAGATAAATGGGTAGCAATGGCTGTTTTATATTTTTGGCCTTAACTATGTCAATCTAATTAGAATTTCCTGTATTTAAAATGGTTCCTTTTACTTATTGAAAGGCATTTTGTGTGGTTTATGTGTAATATCAAAAATTATTTAACACTTCACACATTTTATAGATGATCTATAAGGTCACATGCTTTTAAAATAGTAGCCAATTAAACTTCACTCTTGGATTCTTTAAAAAAAAAAAAAAGTTCTCCCTATCCTTGCAAATACTATGGTTGCATGAATAAGCAGAGTTGTTTGGTTGTGGTGAAGTATCTAAGCTAGAGCTTGTCTAGAAATTAAGGCAGGTAAATTTGTAATCAAAAAGTCACAGTGATTTGATTTGATTGTGGAAGTCACAATCCCATGTTCACGGTTCGTGGACTCAAAATAGCTTTCCCATAGGTGTACATTATGTCATTTTAAGCATAAATTATCCTCTAAGGACCTTACATTCAAAAAGGGACGAAAGCATCTTTATGAATGATAATGGTTATAGGAAATGTTTATTTCTTTTTTGTTTGTTTATAGTAAATCTGATATGTCTCGCTTGCGATTAGCTGCTGGTAGTGCCATAATGAAGCTTGCTCAGGAACCTTGTTACCATGAAATTATTACCCCAGAACAGTTTCAGCTCTGTGCACTTGTTATTAATGTAAGTGACAGTCTTATTTTTGTCAATTACTTGTCTTCAAAGTTGAATACATTTACTTTCTGTGGATACAAATTCATTTATTATGTGAATATATGTACAAAAGGAACTGCTGTTATTACCTGTTTAACTATCTTTAAATTATTACAATTATTACATTATTTATTCCCCCCTGTAATTATTTTTTTTAATTGGAGAAGACATTAAAAATACTTAAACTGCTGGGTTTTTTTTTTTTTTATTCAACGTTTGCCAATTTAAGTATTTTTGTGCTGCTGTAGGATGAGTGTTACCAAGTAAGGCAGATATTTGCTCAGAAGCTGCATAAGGCACTTGTGAAGTTACTGCTCCCATTGGAGTATATGGCGATCTTTGCCTTGTGTGCCAAAGATCCTGTGAAGGAGAGAAGAGCACATGCACGACAGTGTTTGCTAAAAAATATCAGTATACGCAGGGAGTACATTAAACAGAACCCTATGGCTACTGGTAAGCAACTGAAAGTTCTCTGTGTGCAAATATATTTTGTCAATGTATCAATTTTTCGGGTTTTTTTTTCTGTCATGTGTTTCTACTATAGTTTATAATACAACTGGAAGTTTTATAGAATGCTGTCATTGTAATTATGATGTACTTAAAAAGTGAATGCCTCATGAGTCCTATTTATATACTGCATTAACTCCTGGTTAACTGCATATTTTCTATGGGGTCAGCAGTATGGTTTGATTTGAACATATTGCTCAGCAGCCAGACTAAATAATTTTTTCCTAGTTTTCTCAGGGACCTATTGGTTTTTTGGTTTTTGGGTTTTGTTTATTTGTTGCCTATGCTGGAGTGCTGTGGTGCAGTCTCGACTCACTGCAACCTCCACCTCCCAGGTTCAAGTGATTCTTCTGCCTCAGCTTCCTGAGTAGCTGGGATTACAGGCACCTGCCACCACGCCTGGCTAATTTTTTGTATTTTCACTAGAGACGGGGTTTCAACATGTTGGCCAGGCTGGCCTCAAACTCCTGACCTCATGATCTGCCCTCCGCAGCCTCCAACAGTGCTGGGATTACAGGCATGAGGCACCACACCTGGCCAGGACCTAGTGTTCAGTGGGTTTAATATCTGATACCTTTGACTTTAATATCTTTCAAAAGTGAAATATAACTGTATACCAGGTACCAGAGAAAGAAATTAAAAAGAAAAATGAAGTGTAAAGTATTTTAGTATCCAGGTGTCATGTGCCTAATTTAGAAATAACTGAGGGACAAAATGGAAACTTAAGTAGTTAAACTCAATCCAGTAAGGCATTTCATGAAGGTTGTTTTTAATATTAAATAATGTTTTCACTTCAGAGAAATTATTATCACTGTTGCCTGAATATGTAGTTCCATACATGATTCACCTGCTAGCCCATGATCCAGATTTTACAAGATCACAAGATGTTGATCAGCTTCGTGATATCAAAGAGTAAGTCTTGTTTTTCAAGAATTCTAAAAATTATGTTTAGTTTTCAAAAAATGGTAAATATTTTTACTGTTTCCATTGAAATTAGAATTCCCTATGGTGTAATTCATTTATTTATTTATAAACTTATTTATAAATTGCCAGTTTCACCTTTCAAAAATTTTTTCATCTACAAGGTTTTGGTTGTTCATTTTCTGTTTGTTTGCAGCTAGTTAAGCTATATAAGTCTTTGAAATAGGTTAGTTTGGTTATCTTAGTTATTATATTTGATTTTTACTGTTTATATTGAGATGAGTTATAATAAGGGAAGAGCACTGAAATATGAAATAATTGAAGTTGGAACTGAAAACAGTGGAACATTTTTCATTCTTCGTTCTGTCTAGCATGCAGTACGTTTGAGCATCTTTAAAAAGTTTATTCGTACATAACTGTACACATTTGTGAGGTACACATAATATTTTGGTACATACATACAACGTGTAATGAGAAAATCAGAGTAATTAAAGTAACCATCCCCTCTTGAGCCCAGGCATCAGAGCTGCAGTGACCTATGATCAAGCCACTGCACTTTAGCCTGGGTGACAGAGCAAGACCCTATCACTAAAAAATTATTACAATAAAATTTTTTAAATACATAGAAATTATTGTTAACTATAGTGCTATCATGTCAGAATTTATTCCTTCTATTTTTGTACTTATTAACCAGTCTGGTTTTTGTTGTTTTCTTTTTTGAGACGGAATCTTGCTATGTCGCCCAAGCTCCGAGGTTGCTTGTCTCACCGCATCCTTGCCTTCTGGGTTCAAGTGATCTCCTACCTCAGCCTCCCAAGTAGCTGGGACAACAGGTGCCCACCACCATGCCCGGCTAATTTTTTTTTTTTTTTTTGTATTTTTGGTAGAGATGGAATTCCACCATGTTGACCAGACTGGTCTCCTGACCTCGTGATTCATCTGCCTTGGCCTCCCAGAGTGCTGGGATTACAGGAATGAACCACTGCACCCAACCAACCAGTCTCTATCCTCTCTTCCCTTCTATGCTTAACAGTCTCTGGTAGCTACCCATCTACTCTCTTCCTGTATAAGATCTGCATTTTAATTTTTTTAAAATGAGACAAGGTCTTACTCTGTCACTGAGGCTGGAGTGCAGTGGTGTGATCAGGGCTTATTGTACCTCAACCTCCTGGGAAAAAGCAATCTCCCACCTCAGCTTCCTGAGTAGAAGGGACTACAGGCATGTGCCACCATACCCAGCTAATTTTTATATTTTTTGTAGAGCTGGTGTCTCACTGTGTTGCCCAGGCTGGTCTCAAACTCCTGGACTCAAGCGAGCCTCCTACCTCAGCCTCCCGAAGTGCTACGATTATAGGCGTGAGCCACTGTGCCTGGCCTTCACTCTTACAGTGCCCACATATGAGTGAGGTCATGTGATATTTGTCTCTGTGCTTGACTTATTTCACTGAACCTGAGATGACTTCAAGTTCTGTTCATGTTGCTGAAAATGACAGAATTTCTTTCTTTTGGGGAGGTGGTGGAGTCTCCCCTGTCACCCGGGCTGGAGTGCAATGGTGCAATCTTGGCTCACGGCAACCTCTGCATCCTGGGTTCACATGATTCTCCTGCCTCAGTCTCCCGAGTAGCTGAGATTACAGGTGCAAAGTGCACACCAGCACACCCAGCTAATTATTTGTATTTTTAGTAGAGACGAGGTTTCACTATGTTGTCCAGATTGGTGTCAAACTCCGGACCTCGTGATCCACCCACCTCCACCTCCCAGAGTGGTGGGGATTACAGGTGTGAGCCACCATTCCCGGCCGAATTTCATTCTTTTTTATGGATGAATAATTTTTCATTGTGTGTATATATTCAACATTTTCCTAATTAATTTACCTGATGAGGGACACTTAGGTTGATTCCAGTATCTTGGCTCTTGTGAATAGTGCTACAGTAAAAATGGAAATGCATCTATCTCTTAGATGTACTAATTTTCTTTCTTTTTTTTTTT